GAATATGCCCTAATTTACAGATGGCAGTTACATCTTTGCTCAGCCTTATACCCAATTAGGTAAATATCTGGGCTGAGATCACTGTACTTTTGTCTTCCTCTACTAACGAGACAAACAGCCTTGAAGAATTCAGGAAGGGATGGGTCCAGTGAAGGTAATAAGGTCTTCTGACCATGAGAATGAAGTAAAACCTCTGCTTGGAATGGATGAGGGTTTTGGGGGGGGTGGTAAATTAACTTGATGTTGCAGATTAAAATCTGCAATCACTTCGGCAATGAGCTTCTCCAGGACACCTTAGGATAGGAAGTCAGGCACAGGGATCCACCATAATAGCTTCAACTATTCTTGCCAAAAAGTAACTAGCTGTCACCAAAAAGGCTACTTTTATGGACACGTGCTGAAGAAAGTATGTTGTAACGGGCTCAAACAATGCTTTCATTAACATGAAGACTAGATTCAAATCCTGTTGTGGAACAGGATCTCTGATATGCAAAAACTACTTTAAACAAGTTCTTAAGGAATCCAAGGGCTTCTGGGTGAGGTAGCATGCACTGATTCTTCACTGATAGACTAAATGTAGAGACACTGACGCGCATTAGCGGAGCTGCCAGCTAGACTGACAGGCTTTAGCTCTAACCTGCTCTAATTCTGCAAGATCATAAATAGTTCACCGAAGACTGTTTGCACGCCCATGCTTTCTGGCTGGCTTGAATGTATGCAGGGTACACTGGAATGCTTATGCCAGAAAGCTGTCAGCTGCTAGGGGCCTCTTCTGTGCAAAGGCTGGAATTTTTCTTTGCGTTTGTAAGAGAGAAAATAGACTCCCAGAGATCTAAATGTGACTCTGGAGTGTTTAAGAGTGCAGTCGCACCTGTCCTAGAACTAAGTCTTCCACAGTGACTTGGCACCATCTTGAAGATGCCAAAACTTTGGAGCAAAGAGTCATGGCATGTAACAAGCTATTTATCTGGAGGCAGTGTTCACTGCTAGGTGGAAAAGAGTTTTTAATGTGAGCCTAAGGTCTCTTCTGTCATGGATAAAGTAGCAGCCAAAATCAGGACATGCTCACAGATCCAGAATCGGTAGTTTGTGATCCTATATTGTAAACTCATGGACAACTTAAGTTGTCCTTTTCATCTCTAAACTAGTTCAGCTACTCATTGACAATTGTTACTGCCAGTAAACAGAGACAGAGAAATGCATGTATTCCACTACCTGTTAGCTTGTGGTAGGTGGAGGGCACAATGCTGGAACTTGCCACACTTTTCTTACAGGATCTTCATGACCTCATGGACTTGGAAAGCCAGTTTGGAAGGACCCTCCTGTCATAAACTGCCCACAAAAATCAAGTGGCTCAGAGTTCTCTAATAAGTTGTTAGAAGTCTGGGTGATTTGACTTGGTAAGCTCTGAAAACTTGCATTGCCCTCTTCAGGCTGCAGAATAGAGTACACTGCATAGCACACAGTACCATGTGGAATATCTCAATCCAAGGTTAGAAGATAAACTAAGGGATTTATCCAAAACAAGAGTCTTAGCTTCACCTCAGTATGACAGATCCTAGGTTTGAAGGACCAATGCATCAAAAATGAACTAGGAATGTGGGTCTCAAATAGGCAAGAGAGGTACCTCACGGTTGTCAAGCTGTCTCACTGTAGTACAGAACTAAAATCCCAAAGCAAGTTAGACAAGGTTATTTTGGTAAATCTTATATTAGACCAACCCAAATAGTTGGAAAAATTCTTCTTTGGAAGCTCTTGAGTATAAATACCCTTCATCGGGCAGAGGAAGCATCTGCAGCTGGTGTGTGCTCCTCCTGGATGGAATGAATAGTAAAGAAGCCAGAGGCTGGTATGCATGCAAGACAGGCAGTCAGTGAAGATGTAAATCGAGGAGTCAGTAGAACCTTGTCTGCCTATGTCCTTAGGCCAACATGGCTACAACCTATATCCCTGTAACAGAACAAATTAGAACAGTTGAGGAACCCATACCAGCAGGAGTCTTTTGTGAGTTCTGACCTTGCAAAGAATAAGAGCTAGGTTAGAGATAAAGGGTGATGGTGTCAGTATTACAGCACCTTGTGGTATTGTTCAAAATAAAAGGGGTGCAAAAGTACCAACTCACAGACACTAAGCTATACACACTCAAAGGCCACATCCGGACTAGCGCAGCCATGTGTATGTGGTGCTGCAGACATGTCTACAGCACCACATACCGCACATTCAGGTCTTCTCTGTGCTGCAAGGTAGCAGTGTAGTGGGGAGATTTTGACTTTGGAAGATCCTGGGGTCAAATAAACCTGTGCAAAAAAGGCAAGTGGCGCATACAGGGGCAGCACATGCTGCCCAAAACCAGAGCCTGGCCAGCAGGAATCATGCTCCAGCTGCTGGCCAGGCCCTGAGCCACACGATCACCACTGCTGCAGCCCTAGGAGGCCCCCAAAACTCTAGGGAAGGCTGCTGGGGCCAGCCCAATGCTCCCCTACCCTACCCCTACCCCTACCCTACCCCTCCTGGGATAACCTGCCACACGCCAGAAGGCACATGGCACAGGCGTTCTCTGGAAACAAGCAGCAGCAGCACAAGGTGTGCTGCTGCTTCTTATCCCCAGGAAAAAAACGCTTGTGTGGACACAGCCAGAGAACCTAAGATATTTTTCTTCCCACAGCAGCAAAGAAACATGGTAAGGAAAACAGAAATTTAATACAAACGGAGAAATCTATGGTAACTCTTAGACGTAACCAGGAATTTTAACACCCCACTGCCTCAAACTAGTAGCCAGTAGGAAATAAGGACCAGGAAGTACATGTTTTCTTACACACACATACATACATCCCCTCCATCCCCTACCATCAATATAGGGCAGGAAGATAGGTGGAACTACAACAGGAGCAGGCAATTATTTTGGGTGGAGGGCTGCTTAATAAGTTTTGATGAGCTGTCAAGGGCCAGAAGGCTAGCCCAACCTCTAGACAGGTGCCCTGCCCTGGTAGCCATCTTGGGACTGAAAGTCCTGCCCC